AAGGGGGGCAAATGTATTAAAATAATCAAACTATCATTCCTTAATAATAGATTAATACATAAATAAAGGAATTCAAAAATTCGAGGAAGGGGGGGTGCCCACCCTCCTCCCTACGTGGTTTTGCCTTTGATTATGACCATTGGATTGATAGTATAATATATTCAATACTCAAATCCATTGATATTCTAATGGTCACAATCATTAAATTTTCAAAATATGTCTCATAGCAATGTTATATGCACTTAAAATATAAACTTGATCAATCACTGTCATTAATTTTATTGTGAGTCTCAATATTTATTAGGACTCACTACTTATTTAATGGTTATAACAAGTCCACGTAACATTTCCCTATGTCTCTATAGCATTATTCTAAAAAGGAAAATGCTACATAACTCAAGGGTTTGTTTGTTTAGTTAAAAAAAATGGTAAAAAATGTATGAAAGAGAAATTTTTTAAAATTTTCATGTGTTTAATTAGCATGAAAAGAAAATGATAGAAAAAATAATTTTCTTTCATACTTGAATTTTCTCACAAATAACAATTTTTTTTCTTTTAAAAAACACAAGGAAATGCAAGAAAGTTGTGATCTATAATTAACTTTCCATTTTACCATTATTTTTCTTAAAATATTTCATTAGTTATTAATTTTAAAAAATTTTGGTATGAATTTAATTAATCTTATAATTTAACCCAAAGATCTTTGTGTTGGTGATTGTCTTAGAATTAGGTTTTCAGTCACTATTTTAAAAAAAATTAATTTTCAATTATAATTACATATTTTTTAGACCGATTTAATATAATTAAAGGTAATTTAAAAAATTATAAAAAATTTCTTATAACTTTATTTTCTTTCAAATAATAGAATAATTTTTTTTTTAACTTTCCCGTAAATTTTTCATTCTAACTAAATACATGCATGAAAATATATTTTCTATTATTTTATTTTCTTTCACTTTACTTTTTATCATTTTTATTTTTCATCTTTTTTTTTCCTAACCAAACGGATACCAAATGAAACCCAAAAATTCAAATTCAAATGAATGTCAGCTCTTTGATGAGTGTGAGATGAGTAGGTACCACCGAAAAAATTGATACAATTCATTCATCTAAAAAATAATATACATTTGAGTTAAAAATTTTTGATTTTCATTAGGGGAGACGACATTGAAACAAAATCATATTTAAGAGAGGATTGGCTTAATGATATTCAAGTAATAATGTTGAATTAGAAGCCAGAGGAAAAATTTTAGGGTTCGTTTGGTAACGTTTTCGTTTTTATGTTTTTTTTTAATAAAAAAAACAGAACTAAGTTTTATTTTTTTGTGATAAAAATTAAAAATATAAAACATATTTGATACTCATTTATATTTCAAAAATTATAAAAACAAAAATTTAAAACTTGCTTTGTATTATATAAAAAATTCCCCACCCAAACCCCACCACCCAACCCCACGGACCACCAAACCCCATCATTCCAGTGCTGTGGGCACCAAAGAGAGCAACTGTCTCTCTTCCGAGAACCCCCTTGATGCAAATGATGCAATAGTCTCATTGTCTATTCCATTAACGGCATCCGGTAAAACTGAGGCATCACACCCCTCTAGGAAACAATCATGGAAAACCAGCCGCAATAGTGCGGCAGAAACATTGGACCGCAATTTGTACAGTTCTTGAACCGTTGTTCTGATGATTTGCTCAGTTTGTGGGCACGATTCATTGTGGTAATCGTATCTGAGAGATCCGAGATTATCAGCTTCTTCGACCTTCTTCTCCAACTTGGTCGACAAGAACATCGGCCAAGATGGTGATGGATCAGCAAAAATCGAAGGCGCATCATACAGAGACCAACTCACAGCTCGCGAACCCTTCTTGGTTTCAGCATTTTGTTTCTTGAGGGAAATCAAAACACACAATAGAAACACAAGAAAGCTTAATTTCCTGGTAAAATCCATCTCAAGCAGTTCAAGCCCTACAACCATACCCTCTCTCTCTCCCCTCCTCTTCCTCTTCTCTTCTCTTCTCTTTTCTTTTTAATCTTCTGAGAATTGAGGATCTGAATTGCAGAGTAACCCACCCCCAATCCAACCCCCACTAGCCACCCAAACCCCACCACTCAACCTCACTGGCCACCCAAAACCACCACCCAATCCAACTCTTATAACCACCAAAACCACAACCACCGAAACCCACCCCCAATCCAACCCCCACCATCGAAACCCACAACCCACCCCCACCACTACAACCACCGAAACCCAGTTCAATTTCTATAACTTTTGGAGTGCTGGCTTGAGATCTGAGAGATGAACGAGAGAGAAGAGGTCTCGTGAGTGCTGGCTTTTATAGTGGGAATGAAAAAAATCTTTTTTTTTGGTGCTAAGGGAGTTCGTTAAATGATGAGACGAGGAGGGCGTGTTTCCGTTTTTCCGTGTTTCCAAAAACACATATTTTGATGTTTTTAAAATTTAGGATTTTTTACAAAACAGACCAACCCAAACAAATTAAAAATAAAAAAATAAAAAGACTCCCCAAATATGTTATTGTTCTTTTTTTTTTTTAGCAAAAAACAAAAAAAAAAACACAAACACAGGGTTGCCAAACGGGCCCTTAGTCACACCCCTTCAAGTTTATCATATTTTCAAGGAAATCTTATTTTATTTTTTGAACACTCTTTGTCAGATTAAAAGTGTTAATTATAATGTAATTTTATTAAATTGTCCACGATATATTTTAGAAAAAATTTCATCCACGCCCCTTCTAAATAGACATATCTTCAATGAGACTCTCTCTATTTTTTAAATTCTTTACATATTAAAATTTGAGTCAATTAAAATTCGATTCGAGATAGTTAAAATTTATTTTTTATTTATTAAAATTTTAATCGATTAAAAATTATATTTTTTTACGTATTAAAATTTAAGCGGATTAAAATTTTATTCAAGGCGCAAATCAAATTTTAATCGTTCTAAATTTTGATACATAAAAAAATATAAATTTTAATTAACTCAAACTTTAATGTGTAAAAAATAAATTTTAATCAACTTAAATCAAATTTTAATAAATAATAAAAATAAATTTTAATGACTCAAAACGAATTTTAATCGGGACTACCAACTCAAGTAGAGCTCAAATTGGTTTGAATTTGAATACGTAAAAAAATACTTTTAATAAGCTCGAATTTTAATAAGTAAAAAAAATAAAATCTAATCAGCTCGAATCAATTTTTAATCGACTCAAATTTTAATATGTTGAAAAAAAAATTAATTAGCTCAAATTTTAATATGCAAAAAAATAAATTTTAATTAGTTTAAATTTTAATCCAATGTTATGTAGAAAAATTGTTTGGAATTTATGTAGGGATAATTTTGGTATTTTAGATAATTTATTTTTGTTATAAATAGTGATTTAATAACATGAGGTGTCAGTAATGTTTAAATATAAATTAAAAGGGATGTCAATAATATTTTTAATAATAACAGAAAAATCTTTAAAAATACGATAAATTAGACAGAATGTGGTTAAAATTTTCCTTAATAATTTTCATTTAAATCTTTAGGAGGGAAGGAAGGGGGAGGGCCCAAAGCCCACCTAGTCTTAAAGTGGCTGTGGCCAACTACCAGTGTGCCATCAGGGCCATGGCATATGATGGTGCTCGAAAATAACAGTTAAAGCCTAACAAATAATGTTATGAGGGGGTTAATGGATTGGTTGAATAAGAGGATGGTCTAAGAAGAATAAAGGAACGTGAAGCATATGTGGTTCGCCTTAGCCGGAGGACTAAGACTACACCCAATATAAGAGAGTCACTTGTTCCTTGAGGTCATATATTGATTTATGGTGAATACAATGATACTATAGGCGTCAGGCCTTTGCAAGAGCTTAAGCTTCCTATTCTATTTTCACTATTTTTGGCTTGAGAATGTAACGGGGAGGAAGAAGATCCTATATGGTAGGATAACTGCGTTCCATTTATACGAGTCATCTCTCCTAGGGGTTTTGGTGGCTCATTCTCCTTTTTTGCTGATTTCGCGAGCCTTTCTGTCACTATCCTACAACAATCTTTGTTATTTGACGCCACTGTACCCACTATCTCTGGATGGTTATGTGCGTCAACACTCTCTGCACCAGGGAATGCATGATGGTTATGGTTGTCAGGAGTAGTCCCTTTGTCCCCAGGGCACGTGGCGTAGGAAGGCGTTTCAGGATTTGGGCTAGGCTTCCTCCTTTCGGGCTGTCTTTTGGCTGGATTGGATCGGGGTTAGGTTGAGTCACATGTCCTCTGATGCCGTTGGGCTTCGCCCTTTGGGTCATCATGCAAGGAAAAACTTCCTTGACTTATTGGACTCTTGAGTTGTGGTGGCCTATACCCAAGATCTCATTATTATCATTATATATTTTGTATATGATACACAAATCTTTGGTCTTTAGCTGAGTGCAGGTACAAGTAATTTCAAAATCTAAAATCAAAGTGGGGAAGTTCCTATAATCTTGTGCTTTGTGTTGTGGTCAACAATCTTGATCTAATCAATTTGGGAATCTAAGTTCGCCGAATGAATCAAATTCCCCTTTTGGGTTCCCCAGAAATGCTGTGCTTAGACTCTACCTATGATTTTTTTCGGTGGTAAAAAATGTTCGGATTAATTAACGGGTACAGGTACTTCAATTAATTCTCTCTCTGGTCTAGTTAAAAGCATGACATTCACGTCAGGATTAAAATATTTATAAGAGATAAATCTCTCATAATTTAACCTTAAAAGACGATCAAAATTCAAATTCATGATGAATTTACAACTTACCACCTTACGTCCTCTTTGAATTTTCCGATGCAACTCTATCCAAAACAAAAAAGGGTCAACTCACACACAAAAGGCTCCAAAAACGTGTGGGGGCCATGGCGGAATTTCCAGATAAGAGACTCCTTGAGTCCTTAAAAAACTAGTCAGAACAACCCAATCAAGCACGGCAATTAGACGTGACATCTACGTCTCAGTTCAACTTGCATTTATTAAGTTAGTTTATACAGAGCCAGCCTAGAACAAACTCATCCTCTCTCTCTCTCTCTCTCTCTCTCTCTCTCTCTGCACCATGTCTTCATTTCCATCTTCTTCCTCACCAAGAACTCTGAAGATTGGCATAATAGGATTCGGTCCATTTGCACAGTTCCTGGCAAAAACCATAATAAAACAAGGGCATACTATAAGGGCCACTTCCCGATCAGATCATTCCGAACTCTCTGTCCAACTGGGTATCTCGTTCTTTAGGTAACACATATACATTGAAGTGCATATGTGTGTGTGTTCCCGTGCGCACGACCGCGTGGTTCTACTCAAATCCACATTTTCCCATCAAATGAATGCTTAAATGTATATGTTTATGCATGGTCAGGAATATGGATGCATTTCTTGAATCAGACAACGATGTTATATTGCTGAGTACATCAATCCTATCTCTATCAGAGGTGGTCAAGTCCATGCCATTCAACCGTCTGAAAGGGCAAACACTCTTCGCCGATGTACTCTCGGTGAAAGAATACCCGAGAGAAGTTCTACTGCAAGTACACATTTATGATTATAAGATACAAAAACTTGTGTGTGCATTGTTTATGTATGCTTTCAAATGTGCTAAAGTATGCATTTGTGAATTCAATAGACGGTGCCCCAGGACTGCGATGTGCTTTGCACTCACCCCATGTTTGGACCAGAGAGCGGAAAAGAAGGGTGGAAAGACCTAACTTTTGTGTACGATAGAGTTCGGATTAGCAATGAAGCTATATGCCGCAGTTTTCTACAAATTTTCCAAACTGAGGTAAGCACTATAGCCAAGATAGAGTTCTCTAAGGCTTTCCTACCATGGTTCAAAATATTAGCGAGTCATACCCGACTTGACACCTTCCGAAATGATACCATTACACAATACATATAATTCTCGAATATTGCACAACTCAACTAAGTTGTCCGGATCACCGAGTTATCATCACCGAACTGATCGATACGGTTCCATGATGCCACGTTAAGATCTGAATCTCTTGACATGTTCAACATTTTTTTTTAGGTCGAATCGTCCAATATTGTGACACGACGCCACAAGCGATATGACTCAAGAGTTTTCCGAGTTGATAACCAATATCGCAACCTTGAACAATGTTTCCTACCCCAAGCCAACACAAGATATTCCCCTTTTTGGAGTGGATGTTTATATATGAGCAATGTATAAGCCTAACAATAAACAAGGCTGCATTGCAATACTAATAAGATGTTTNCCTCACCAAGAACTCTGAAGATTGGCATAATAGGATTCGGTCCATTTGCACAGTTCCTGGCAAAAACCATAATAAAACAAGGGCATACTATAAGGGCCACTTCCCGATCAGATCATTCCGAACTCTCTGTCCAACTGGGTATCTCGTTCTTTAGGTAACACATATACATTGAAGTGCATATGTGTGTGTGTTCCCGTGCGCACGACCGCGTGGTTCTACTCAAATCCACATTTTCCCATCAAATGAATGCTTAAATGTATATGTTTATGCATGGTCAGGAATATGGATGCATTTCTTGAATCAGACAACGATGTTATATTGCTGAGTACATCAATCCTATCTCTATCAGAGGTGGTCAAGTCCATGCCATTCAACCGTCTGAAAGGGCAAACACTCTTCGCCGATGTACTCTCGGTGAAAGAATACCCGAGAGAAGTTCTACTGCAAGTACACATTTATGATTATAAGATACAAAAACTTGTGTGTGCATTGTTTATGTATGCTTTCAAATGTGCTAAAGTATGCATTTGTGAATTCAATAGACGGTGCCCCAGGACTGCGATGTGCTTTGCACTCACCCCATGTTTGGACCAGAGAGCGGAAAAGAAGGGTGGAAAGACCTAACTTTTGTGTACGATAGAGTTCGGATTAGCAATGAAGCTATATGCCGCAGTTTTCTACAAATTTTCCAAACTGAGGTAAGCACTATAGCCAAGATAGAGTTCTCTAAGGCTTTCCTACCATGGTTCAAAATATTAGCGAGTCATACCCGACTTGACACCTTCCGAAATGATACCATTACACAATACATATAATTCTCGAATATTGCACAACTCAACTAAGTTGTCCGGATCACCGAGTTATCATCACCGAACTGATCGATACGGTTCCATGATGCCACGTTAAGATCTGAATCTCTTGACATGTTCAACATTTTTTTTTAGGTCGAATCGTCCAATATTGTGACACGACGCCACAAGCGATATGACTCAAGAGTTTTCCGAGTTGATAACCAATATCGCAACCTTGAACAATGTTTCCTACCCCAAGCCAACACAAGATATTCCCCTTTTTGGAGTGGATGTTTATATATGAGCAATGTATAAGCCTAACAATAAACAAGGCTGCATTGCAATACTAATAAGATGTTTACAATAACGAACAATAAGGAGCACAATTAGAGTACAAGATTATATGTATTAGATGCACAGATATTTTCTCTGAAGCCCTTCCCTTGTCGACCCCCTCCTAGCGTTCCCGTATCCAACCTAAAATTTTATAATCTGATTTGAATTCCCTATGTTATTTCTGTCTTCCACGTTGCCCGCACTAGGGCAAGAATTGAACACCAGAAAGAAGACCTGCTGAACTACAAGACCTATCCAAGCATTAACCACAAAGAATGGTGTCTCAGGCTCAGACCTGGGCCAAGCTAACTCTCATGCCTCCAGAAGAACTGCAGTTCATTGAAATCAATCCAACAGAAGTTACATTCAAGAAGTTTTAGCTTCTCCACATCTAGTGCAAGAAATCACAAGTCCTAGAAGCTACTCTATCGTCTATCTTCCTAGTGAACGTAGCTCGTTAATTTCCATCAAAATACTAGTTTGCTGTCCTGCTCGGCTAAAAGCAAAATAATTTCTGCCACCATTGACTGAAGTCTTGCACGTACAGTTTCTCAAATTTCATCTGAGAGAGCAAGAATGTATGTCCTACTGGATATGATCTACACATGTTGAAGTCTGGTGCTCTCATTACACTACTAACGGGGTAACGGTTTGCCTAGGGTTGCAAAATGCTGGAAATTTCTTGTGAGGAGCACGATAAATTGGCTGCGCAAAGTCAATTTCTTACTCACACCATTGGCTGGTACTCAATTTTCACCCACCCAATCATCTACTAGCAAACTATATGGAAAAAACAGAATTTAATGGGACGCTATTTGTAAATGTTTCACAGGATGTTGTCAGAGATGGAGATCGGACCCACATCCATAGACACCAAGGGATTTCAGAAGCTTGTTCAAGTGGTATGTGCAATTGTTACTTTTTCCCATACTTTTTTATGCGTGTAGAAGTATCCCTGTAAACATCATGATGCATTTGGAAGCTGAATAGACAAAAAAAAAAATCAACAATAAGATTCTAGATTTTCTTTTCATTTCTTTTTCTTTTTCTTTTTCTTTTGGATGATAGCATAGACTCAAATGATGTGCATGATAAAACATACTAATATGGGACTTATTGCAGAAACAGAGTACAACAAAAGACAGTTTTGATCTGTTTTGTGGGTTATTCATCCATAATAGGTTTGCCAGACAAGAGGTATGGAACTGCTTCTATTGCTGAAATAATTATGATGAGTAATAAATTATTATTGTCATTCGTTCAAGACTGAAACTACATCATGAAACAGGTGCAGAATTTAGAACTTGCCCTTGAAAAAGTTAAACAGAAGCTAAAAGAGAGGATGAATGAGGATCAGGATCGAAGCGTGTCCAACCAGTGAAGGATCCTAGCTGATAAATATTACAATTCATTATGTCTCTTTTTATGTTTGCATCCATTTGTGTAACTGATAATTTATTAAGAGAGCCAAGCATCTTTCTCTAACAAGGTTCCATTAGCAAAAACTTGGTCCAATGAAAAATTTAGTTTGAAGGATACTGGACCCACCCACCCTTTAATATTTTGAGTGATCTCACACTAGATGGAACAAGCTTGAGATCAGCCTTTCAATTTCACACTACTTATCAAGAGACTTTTTTGGCCTGGTCCAGCAATAAATCCCAATAGTCATATGCAAATATGGAAATCCTATTGGGTTTCAAAGATGAGTGAGTCCGTGTGTTATCATCCTAAGCTCAATCTCCAAGACTAAAACCAATGCACCTTACAATTTAGTCAGGTGAATAATCCAGTTATGATTTTGCAAGGAAAACCTTCCAAATACAGTTTAATCAGGTGTTCACATGCCCTCCTGCTTTGCCAGCAATGTTAGTACTAAACTCGCATACTGTATATTGAGAAAAGCACTGAAAAAATGGTCCTAAGCCTACTAATATGATTAAAGTTATTTGTGGGCATGATGCAAGCAATCATCGCCTTGAAAGACCTATACTGTAATATGAAAAAATACCGATGTAGTGCATTGGAACAAATTTTTTATTTTGCACTGTATCTGGCAGAAGAAGAAACACAAAACCCAGCTCGTATGTACTCTAAAGTCAACAGAGATATATATCATTGTCTGCATAGTGTTTGACAAGGATGGTTCAGGAAAGATGGGTTCTCAACTAACGATTGTTCCATTTGATCTTTTGTGGATTAAATTCAAGTAGTCAAGTATACCTCATAAAACAGAAAGACAAATTCATGCCCCGGTGCCCAGCATAAAGCATCATCTCATTGATTGTTGATTTCATCAATACTGGCATCCTTTGAAGTGTTGCATCCCAAAGCAGCATGACTTGGAGAATCTGGAGTTTGGTAGGAAAGTGGCTCATGACTTGGAGAATCTGGAGTTTGGTAGGAAAGTTGCTCACTTTTCCGAGCCTGCAGTCCTGTAAACCGCGCAAGATTGACCCATTGCTGCAGCAAAATGAGAAACATAAGCTGAATCAATACAGATGCTGCAGTCATTTCAGGTAGATGATTTTTGAATAGGCATAGAGATAAGAGCTAGACTCAAGGACACTAAGGCGACTCTAACCTGGGTTCCCCAGTAAGAGTTGAGTGTTCGAACAAGAAAAGATAGCATATTCACAAGTAATGTTTGGTCGGAAAGTCGGTCTGAAATCCGATGCTCTACTATTCCAGCAATAACCTGCAAAACAGTTTATTGAGATGCTGTCATCAAACATATACTGAAGGATTCAGGAACAAACAATATGCCAGATATCTTTTACATTACTGCTAAAAAGGAGGACAGTGCCGTCTCCTTCATACTGTTCAATACCTCCTGCAGTTAACTTTCCATTTGAAAATTACACAATCATAACACCAGTTCAAGATTGTAGATTGAGCACAAAAGGACATTGACATTAAATCTATCGTGCATGTTTGCCTTTGAAATTATGATGTCAAAGACAACTCTTTGGACATAGAACAAAGGGAAAACAAAGGTATCCCTATTTTCAAATGGAAAAAAAGAAAGTAAGTAACAGGAAACAAAAATTCTTAAGGACTTGACATGATAGAAAAACTTCTGATATGGTGTAAACCAGCAAAAATTGATCACTACCTCATGGGCAAACATATGATTTCATAAGAACTAGCTGTCAGAACAAAAATTTATTCCAGGTATTGAGTTGATAGGGCCTCAAATTGATACCTAACATATAGCTTTCAGGCTGTGTCAGAATTAAAATCACAGACCAAAGAGATAACAAACAGACAATCACACAACAGTTTTATGTTCAGAAATTTTTATGTTAATGCCAAAAGGCCCAAAAACATGCAGGAGTGGGTCCAGCACTTGATGGGGCCCCATCATTTTTGAGGCCAAATATACATACATCTGCCCTAGTAGCTTGTTTTTACACTATTCTTACCAATCATGAATTGATCAATCTCATCTTCTCGGGTCTTTCCTCAAAACATACCATTAATGTAGCACAATATTTAGTGTATGAAGCCAATATCATAATTCCGTTAATACAGCACTACTTAAGTTCTTTGCATAATAAACAGGAAATGTTTGCTAGGATGTTATAGATGTCTGACAGCACAAAAGTTTAAAATTAATGATCTGATAACCACATGATATAGACGTTCGAATGTGAATCATTAAAAAGTCACTTTACCTGATAACGTAGATTTGCCGATGTCCCAAGAAAACCTCCATATACAACTGCTGTTTTCAATATGGGTGATCTTCTATTCTGCTGATTAGTAACTATAGCTGGATTCAGTAATCTGCGTACGCCATACAAAATATTTGAGGCAGCCACAGCTCCAATACTAGAAATAAATCCGACACTGGCAAGTTTCAGACCGCCAACAAACACTGATGCCGCTCTATGACTCAAACTCCAGTCCTTTCCACCAAGATTTTTTTGAAATGCATTATCAGGGATGAACCCAAGAAGCCCCTTTAATGCATCCATGCTATTAGGTGCATTCATCTCATCAGTAAAAGAAAGGAACGACAGTGTAGGGGCTGGAAGCCATACAGTAAAAAAATCAACAACTGTTCCTCTTAGTGTGTCTGTAATAACATAATCAAGCTCTTCAAAAAAAAATTCTTTACGCCTTTCATACTGAGCTAAGAGAGTAGTAGTTATTGATATAGCTTCTTCTATAGCTAATCTATGTAGGAACTTGGGATCAGCCAGTAATCTTTCTCTGAAGCCCTGCATGAATATAAGCTGTGGTCAATTTTGAGTTCCTTGCTAACTCATATTAAGGTTGATTGCTTGAAAACAGATCAAATTTAATATCCTCTATCCAACCGTACCTGGAAACGATGAGTGAGTTCTTTGATAAGAGGATATTGTTCAAGATCAAAGAAATTCTGCAGTACTTCCGGAGATACAAGACCAAGATCAAGCCCTTTCTGAATGTCCTGGTAAGCAATGTCACAAAATTGTCTTCATGAGATGGAAAAAGGAAAATCCTTGGGAGTAATACGCATATTCAGCATCAAAATACTAATCAAAGAAGCTTGTTTGGTTATAAACTTGTGATCTTAATATATGTAGACATGCATATTTCTTTTTTTTTTAAAAAAAGGGAAACAATTAACAATTCACTAGAACACTAACTTTACTCAGGAATGTTAGCAAACCATGAAATATGAATACGTTTAGTCGACAGAAAACCCACTTATTTGAGTAACAGTTCAACTTCCTAAATAAGGACTTCTAAAAATTGCAATAAAACTTCACAGGAGCTCTGAAACAGATCTGATTAGCAGCCACCTTAGATCTAGGAAGACCATCAAGAACAACTAACCTGGGGTAAGGCATCTCGCCTCCTGCCAGCTGCATTCATCACTCGGGCAATTTCAGCACGATCAAAGCAATTTCTACTGCATGGTCTCACTGCAGAATACCACAAGAAATCAGCAACAGGAACTTCTCCCTCTCTCCGTATGAATTGTCTTTCGGGATGAAGTAATATGACAACTTGATTTTTCTTTTGCATCTTCTTTGAAATTCTTGCTGGCACCCCAGTCCCTCTTGATCCATATGCAATGTGGCTTGCACCTGTCACCACTACTAGCATACCAGCAGCTCCTCCATCTGTTACTGCTTGCAAGATTATCTGGGACATGGTATAATCCTCAACCACTCTTGCTTGTGCAGATAGATAAGAGCTTGGCCCAAAAGGAGCAGACTTTGGAGGATTTCTATCTGTTGATGGTCTGCGCAAGGTAGATGTAAAGCCTGAAATAAAGCCTGAACCAGCTGGTGGAGCATATTTTTTCCGATCAGATTTAGGAAGCCCACGAATACCTTCAGCTTGAACAGTTCTTAATACCTAGCCAAAAATTCACATCAGAACTGTCAGGCAGATCTCCACTAACCAACTGAAAAAGAGAACACTGGGAAAAGAGTAAGAAAAAGTAAAATGGCAGTTATTTGAAGAAAAAATGACAAACTTAGGAACTCTTTATTATTTTGGCTGCCAAAAACAAACATCCCTAATTTGAATTGTATAATCCTCATAAAACCTAGCACTTAAAGCTTAAGATGTAACAACTACAAGATTACCACAGTTGCGATGAATAAAACTCATTCTTCTGAATTGATTATTCCTCTGTGAAAAGGTTATGGCTGGCAAAAGGTTTATGAAATGAAGGTGTATTTAGCATTTAATGATGTAGTAGCATATCATAAAACATCCTTTAGTTTATCTCACTCAATCCTCTCTTTTTGTGAGAGAACTACTTCAAAAGCACAGTTGTATGCAGTTAGTGTCCTTTAGTTAAAATTGAGTATTCAACTTCATCCATTTAATTTAGATCACATGGCCGTCTGTTTTTAGCCATATGTATCTAATATATTTCCTATCATACTGAACACGAAGAACATTCCCAATTGTGCTCTCCTATTCATATAAATATGTTAAAAAAGTACCTCAAGTGGTGTACCACAGGCAACAAGCTGAACTCTGTTATCCCGACAGTAACTCAAAAGAGGCTCATACTCCTGCCAGCACTGAGGTAGCCAATGGGATACAAAAGACTTCAAGATGTCTGCATCAATCCTGCCATCGGATACAAGAGTGATGAAATAAAAGAGAGGACACAAAACCAGAATATTTGTACTTTCCGGCAAGCAAAAAAAATAATAATAATTGCAGTCCCAAAAATGCAATCATCACATCCAAAATACTGTTCATTGAGAAACCTTCAGTTGAAACAAACTAAGCACGTTCTAAAGAATGCATGGAATACGGCAACAATAAGGAAAATGAAGTGACAGTATTTGTAGAGAAGATCAATAGGGTAGGTTAAAAAAGAAACAATGAAATGATCGACTAAAATTTCATAGTCAATATGAATGTAGAATGGTGATCCATTGTACTAAAGTTACCCTCACTTTCACAGAGGGGAGACAAGTGAAGCACACAAGACAGCCTCAGGAAATGAGGGGATTTCTCAGAAGCCTCAAGGTAGTTAGAAACTACTGTAAAATATTAGAAAAGGTTCTAACACCTAAAATAATATGCCATATCTCTAAACAATTGGTCAATTATTGTCCCCTTGTTTTGCATAAGAGACATGAGCTAAATTATTTTCCTCCATGTTTTTGCCCAACTTGCATCAACTTAGATAAGAATAGTGAATGACAAAAGAAAATTTTTTCATTAAAATAAATCAACCCCATCCAAAATAAAAATTTAATTCAAACACTACTCTGTTTAATGTTCAACATAGCTCCTATTATGCAAAAGAAGTGTGTTGCCTAAGCATGATCAAAAATTTTAGTATCAGCCATCAGCAACAACACCCAGTTGATGGGATTCAAACATAAGTATTAACCTTCAGCAAGTTATTCACATAAGCCTTTCGACATAACAATTACTTGCAGAAGTTAGCCTTCCTGTTGATTCTTTTGAGGCAAAATACAGTTAGATGAAACAATTTGATTCTTTTGCTGCAGAAATTTGCAATTCTTTGTGCCTATATAAAATAAAAATTCAATCCATTACACCGTCTGAACCTCAAACGAGTTTAAATCTGGGATAACCAATTCTTGCAAGTAGGACCAAAGATTACGTTGTATCCACAGGATCCCTCGCATCGCTCTCAGATGAGGGGAACATAAATCTGGATCAATTTTTTTAAAAAACCTTTTTAACAGAATTTGAGCCACCATGTACTTTCCAATAACGAAGTTCACTAAATTATCAGGTATATAACTACAATTGATCAGTGTTACTAAACAATGACAAAATTCATAGGGAGAACAAACCTTTTATCCATGTACTGATTGAGCTGTTCTTGTAGATTACTAGGAAATGCCTCCAAAGCCAAAGAAAATGGCCGGTCCGCCTCAACACATCTTCTACTCAGATTCTTCACAATCTCGAGCTCCAACTCCTTATCGTCGCGAATCGGAACTTGTTCAGCTTCCCCTAAATACACAATCCGAGCATTCATCAACTTCTCCCAAACCTTCCGTTTATCCTTACCCACCGCCGTCGGCTCTCCGATCACCGCCGCATCATAAATCCTTGAACTTATCACCTCTTCCTTCTTTTCATCTACTTTCGCCACCGGCGGTGTCGCCGTGGACGACGTTGCCGTACTATCCACCGCCTTCTCATCCGCTCTCGCCACAGCAGAACGAAGAAAACAAGCTCCGATTGCCAAAATTGGCGTGACCAACGCATCTCGCCTCTTTACTACCGGACAATGACGAATTTCGCCGGAATATTCGACATTTTCCGACGGATTGTAACGGTAATCGACGGTAATGCTGACGTGGCGATATTTTATAGTTGAAATTTGCCGGGAAACATGCTTTCCCGATGGAAAGCTGGAACGACGGCGTGTTGAGTTTATATATACGTCTAGTGGTGCGGTGCTGGAGCCACCACAGTGGGTGTGGGGCTTCATTTCCTTAGTTCGGCTGTGAATGTTTTACCTGCTAGGACTTCAGTCCCAACATAGCCAACACGCCGGATATTTTTTTTATTTTGGATGTTTGTAATTTTATTATTTTACTTACGTGTCAGATATGCACAATTTTAGTGGTCTGGTGAACCTTTTGCCGTGTGGTTCTTGCACAAAAACGTCACAATGGATTTAGTGTAAATATTGGGTGAAGGGTGGCACAACGTGATAATTAATATAACACGAATATAATATAAAATCAAATAATTTGAATCTTTCTTTAAGTTATTTATTTTGCAAATGAATGGGTCCGAGACATAATTAAAAATAAATAAATTTAATTAAAAAAAATGCATGTCTAGACTAATTTATATACCAATTATACACGATTCATATAAGATACAAATTCAATATAATATAATTCGTTAAATACGAATTAATAAACGAATCGAATAATTGAGTGTAATATCTTTTGACACAAATATGTTAAAACACAAAATGAGTCTGCCTCACCTATTTAGCATAGTATGTATTAGGGGTGCAATTTGGACGAATCAACCCGAATTTAACCTGAGTTCAACCCTAAAAAAACAGGGTTTGGGATAGAAGTTTTAATACTTGAATTAAATTTGAGCAAAAAAACTCCAACCTGAATTGAATTTTGGCAAGTCTCAAGTTAAGGTCTCGAGTTATCGGGTTCAACTCGAATATTAAAATCAGATTGAACCCGAATATACATAAATATATAAATATATTTATTTAAGGTTAGTATTTATCTTCACTTTTTAAAGTCCAAACTTTCACTTCACTTCAAATCTTCACATATGTGCCTCCATCACTCTAAGATCCCTTTCTCACTCATTATTCTTGCATCTCTTAGCTTCCCTCTCTTATTTGTCACTCGTTTGAGTCGTCTTAAACTCTCAGTCTCCCTCTCTCACTCATGACTCTTCCCTCTTTCTTCATCTATGTATCGTCTTTCATCTTAGATCATTTGAAAAAACTAAATCTACAATTGAAAAAACTATATCTACACTTCAAAAAATTAACCCGAATTAAATAACTTAAGCCCAACCTAATTTTTATCCCAAAATCAACCCGAATTAAATAACTCAAATTCAACCCGAACTCACCCGAATTAAACTCGATTAATACTCAGGTTGAGTACATCAAGTTGAGATAGGGTTAGGATTAGAGTTAGAGTTGAAGATTATATAGTTAATATTATATTAGAATTAACCTCTCGACCCGTTTAACCTACTTGAGTTGCACCCTAGTATGCATTGAAATTGTATATGTTCCTTTTTAGCAACGAACTGGGTCGGGCCATCAGCCAACAGTCCATGCACTACCTTGAAATGGGGGCCGGCCGAAAATAAATTCTCAAAAAAAAATATTATTTATACGTAATTTATTAACCTAATAACTAATGACTATTAAATTGACAATAAACTCTAATATTTGTTAAGTTTCCTTATTAATTCAATGATTGTAATGAATTAAATCCGTAAATTATGTCTAAATAGTATATATTATTTTTTTTTCATTTTTTCTAGAATATTAACTGGATTGATGGCCCTCAAGCTTTTTGGGCTAGCACCCGAGACTCATAACAAATGTCGGGCCTGGCTTTTTAAGCATGTCCATTCTACTATACCTATCTTGGCTTGGTCTATCATTCTTGAACATCTTGCCAATGTGTTTGCAGCATTCCATTGTATTTAGCAAGATCCCACGCCTTATGTTTCGAGATATTTTAAAAAAAAATTAGATTTTTAAGCATGTTTTTATCAATATTTTAGAATATTCTGAAGAATTTTAATATATTAAAATACATTTAAATCAATGTTTTTGAAAATAAATTCTTAATTTTTTTTATTCATTTTCTTTATTTTTTTTAAATATTTTTGAAATATTTATATTTCTTAGATGACCGAAATGATATTTTGATCCTTAATTACCATTGGTTTCCGACAAAAGGGAAAAAAAACCTCTTATTAAGGATGATAAAAAAAAAAAAAAAGNTAGATCTCCCGCAAATGTATATTTAGGAAATCAGTAAGGGTATTCCTGGATCTGATTTAGGATATGTGTATGTTACTGACTTAGGGGAAAGATCTTTGTGGTGTTCAGTTGTATCACGACCAAACTATATAAAAATGTACATAAACATGCATGTGTTTGTGTAAAAAGACACACACAGTACTTGCTGAATCGCTGTTTTCATCTTATGAAATATTCCGTTTCCTGTTTCCCTTAATCCTCTATGAGCTNGGTTAGATGAATGAGGATTGACATGGGAAATAGCTAGTGATGGGATGTTTCTAAAGTTTAATGGGGAGATGGCATGTGTCATCGACATGAACTTCTTCCTCAGAGTATTCCTCTACTTGACACGTGTTCTCGGCATAAAGATTATTTGGAGTGCCCTCTGCTTGACACGTGTCCTCGACACGAAGGTCCCCCCAAAGCATCCTCTGGATGACACATATTCTCGGCACGAATGTCTCTAGAGTGTCCTCAGCATGGGATAACTCGAAGGGACCCTCCCCCTTGACGCCATCCTCAGGGCCTAGGCATCAAGCCATTCACACCAGCGAACTATGAACAGTTGTTTTAACAGTTTTGTCCTACCAAATGATAATGTTAAGTTCTCAAAGAAAAAGGGGAAGGTTAGTTGATGTAATAATACCTACAATCGAGGTAAAGTAGAACATCATTCTTGGGAATGAGATTGGTTATTAATCATCAACCACCCTTCCTAAAGGCAGTCAGAATGGTTGGAAAGACAGTTCAACAACTAGTGAAGAAGGTGTACGGGGTGCAAAGACATGTGATTCTTGACCTCTTTGCGATAATGGACGAAAGTACCCTAACACATGCACAATAGCCACAATCAGGGCATATTAAATGACCTCATAGAAAGATAAAACATATTTATTGTTCGACAAAGTCAAAAAGGCGAACATTAAATGCTTGGAGATCTCAGCATTAAATGCAGAAAGTCTCTGTCACGTGAAAAAGAAGGCATTTTGCTCAAGGTCTGTGCACCAAATGTTGTCCTCCAAATGAGCCAATCATGGGTCCTTCCTTTAAGGGATCCAACTATTCGCAATAATTAACTCCAATGAAGTATAAATAACACTCTCAAACTCAAGTCTAAAATATGCAAACTCTTACCCTAAGAAATAAAACAGTGTTTTTCAAACCTTCTCTTAAATACTAACTTGATCGTCGGAAGGGTCACGCCGAAAAATATTTTGGCCTTTTAACCCTTTTTTTTCAATGACAAGACTGTGCTCGAGGACTTACAAGTGAGAAATTTGTTTTTAAAGAGTTTCATCACCGTTCATTACGTTTTCTCAATAGTCAAACGCTACGGAACATTCAACTTTCTAGATAAGCTCAAGTTCATTAAGAGAGAGATCTGTCATTTTATTTATTGTGATAGAATCATCCCGCACATCTAAAAATGGCAAACACAAAATATGCATGACTTTGGCGCCAACTCTTTTGATGCCAGTGCATTACCAAATAAAAGGTGTGAAATAGCTAAAGCAAAACTCATTTTGGAAACAACCTCTAAAAGATAATTTGGTCGAGTTGTTTTGGACTAAACCATTCACATCAATGGTCATTCCTAAATTGTAGGAATGTCAATTCTTAACTTACTCATCGTCAAAACCACAACGCATGAAGTTATAAGGTATGAGTTTAATTTTTACTCGTCTTAGTTAAAAATGGATTATCCTATCAAACACGCTCTATTAAAGAGATGATGCAAATATAAGTATTGTTTTTTTTTTTTTGGGGGGGGGGGGGGGGGGGGAGGGAGACTTGAACCCTTGGCTTAAAGAAGGTGAAGTTTTTTACAAGATAATAAGTATCATTGGACTAAAGACACCTTAGTATGCAGATATAAGTATAGGGGTGTTCAAATTTTTGATTAGTCGCAATTTCCTACCCTGTCCCAACCCTATTGAATGGATAGTCGAAAAAATTGGATAAGAATGCGAAAAAAATTTTAGTCTTCCGATTAAATCGGATAGAAATGCAGAATAACTATTAATTTTCATATTTCTACCCTACCCTACTCGCATTAATTTTTATTTATATATATAAACTAAAAACCCTAATTCTCTAACCATATGGTTTAAACTTAAAATAATTGTTATTGTATTTGTGCAATAAATATGATTGATTGATGTTTATACTTTATTATGTATTATTGTAATTGTTGTTGTAATTGTTTTAGATTTTAGTATTATTATTTTTTTATGTTGTTAAATTTGTGTATGTTATTTAATTAAATTGCTAAAATGATCTAAAAATTAATAACTACAAAAGTGTTCACCCGATTTCTTATTCGATTAATTTGGCCAGAAGTCGAGTAGAAATACCACATTTGATCGGATAAGTAAGCAAAGAAAAAGTTCTTCCGCAAAACATCGGGTAAAAAGACGGAAGACTATATTTCCTACGCGTAGGGTAGGGTGAACACCCCTATATAGTATATGTAGTATTACATCTATGAACCCGACTCTACATATGTTGTATAATTATGAAAGAACTTTAACGGATAGTTCAAATGGTAATAGAAATAAGTTATAAATTCAGATGTACTAAGTTCAAATTTTGGCTACTTATTGGGACCAAACAATAAGAGATTTATTTATTATGAATATCTTAATTCTGGCGTAGATAGTTTACCTTTGACCAAATCAGGGAGAGGATTAGTCGAGACACACGTAAGTTAATCTAGACACACTTAATCGTTGAATCAAAAAATATATATATAATTATCAATGAGTTGGGTGCACATTAAGTCAATTTTAACAAAAATACGGTCTAAACACGACATGACTATTACTATGCTATTAATAAAATAATATAATAATTGTGATATTCACCTATAAAAAATTTACAGTACATTTTTTTTAAGGGCATGATTAGCTATATTTAATTACTTATAACTCCCATAAACAAATGTATGAATTTATTCTAATTTTGTTTTCACCAAGAAATGTCATGGGTTATATGAAGTTGTTGATAATTGGGATTTT